TCTAGCAGAACTGTTGCCATGACAACAACTCTCGGATCAGCTTTGAAGAACGAAACGATCCTGGATCATGTCAAATCGTCAATAACCAAATCCAGCTAACTGAGTAATCCACGTACGAAGAACAGACCCCTGAGCTCCTTCACGGGACTCCACACTTGTAAACAGTCGCTCCATCTGGCTCGCACGGCTCTCTGTCCCGCCCACACTCGTCAGCGCTACCAAGCCGACCAATCACACAGCTTGCGCTAGGCATAGTTGTGATGTGTAGTTACATTTTTTGTTAGGTGCGATGTTCGGCGATGGCCACGGCGAGGGCTATGTCAGCTATATCTTCTATCTATTCCTAACACGTTTTCAACCAGGGGAGTTCTCAAGATCTACCTGAGCTCAAACTCCGATCTCACCCTTCAAACGAGAGGGAGCCCCGGGCTCGAGGATCTTCTGAGCTCTCTCCCGGGACAACATGCGATTGAATATACTCGAATATACTCTAGAAAATCTTGGGTTATAGTGTGAATAAAATAGATTTTAAACTGTCCTGGTTTTAATCATTACTTTAAAATATGGTCTCAAGATTTCTAAAAATAACAACTTAAGTAATTTTGTTCTTAAGGAAATGCATGGTGTCTCAGTGGTTAGCACTGTCGCCTCACAGCAAGAAGGTTGCTGGTTTGAGCCCTGGCTGGGTCAGTTGGCGTTTCTGTGTGGAGTTTGCATGTTCTCCCCATGTTCACGTGAGTTTCCTCTGGGTGCTCCGGTTTCCCCCACAGTCCAAAGACATTGGCCGTAGTGTATGAGTGTGTGTAAATGGGTGTTTCCCAGTACTGGGTTGCAGCTGGAAGGGCATCCGCTGTGTAAAACATATGCTGGAATAGTTGGTCAGAGACTTATTTTACATCTTGTATAGAGTCGTCTCCTTTAAGAAAGACATTTGTATAGTGGAAAACAACAAAATCGGTGTGTTAGAATCAATGACTGTAAAAAATATGGACGACGCGACAGCCCTTTTTCCCATTGAACGCCTTGAGGGCAAAACTCCTGCTTGACGGGCACAAACTGTCGCAAAAGACTGGTAAAATTGGAGCCAGACATGCGCAGAAGGATTGTCTGATGGAGCCAGAGGAGGAGCCGCGAAAATGAGCAGAGTCGAGCTTCCAATCAAACGCTTTATGTAAAATCAACCACGCCCCCTGAACTTCTCAGCATGCGTTTGCTGTCGTATCAACACAAATGGATGTAATAACGTTAACAAATATGAGGGTTTTATATATTCAATCGCGCCAGCTCCAGGCCGCAGCGCATAACTTACTCGCGGCGTCGCGGGCTGATTCCGGCTCGCATGCGGCAGCGCCTGCTCGCTCGGCCGCCGCATCTGGCTCGATTGACTCGTACTGGAATTGGGTAGTGAGTCCAGGCATCCGGAGTAGGTCCAGCAGAGGTAACATTAGTCAGTCTGAGCTCTAAGAGATAAGTCTCCGGCAGGCGAGAATCTAGCCGGAACTGTGTTTTGCTATCTGGGTGGCTAGGCGTGTATCAGCAAACTAATAAAGCCCGAAAAAAGCCCTGAACTTAGCGAATAAACAGTGTTCCACCAGGATCATGTATGTCAGAAACTATAGTTTACTGCTGAACTCATTTTGTCATGGTAAAATAACACAGAAATCGAATAATAACATTTCAGTCTACTTCAGTCTCCTGCCGAAGCTCAGACGCCGCGCTTTGAGAAACTGTCAATCACAGCTGTCAATCACGATGACACGCCCAGCATTAAATTACTGCTAAAAACAAACTGTTTACAAAAATGAAGATCTGCACCTATTTCAGCACAATAACCAGTGCCTTAATCGACCAGAACTATCTTTCGGGACATTTTATTGCAAGTGTAATATTTTTTTTTATTTGGGCTCAAGTCTCCTTCATTAACACGGAGGAGGCGGGCTTTATGACTTGTACTGCAGCCAGCCCCCAGGGGGCGATCTAACGGCCGAAACCTTCACTCAAACGTGGGCTTGCGGCACACTTGGTTAGAATAAGAAAGTGATTTTAGATGCTTGTTGTTGTGTAATTTCACGCGGCTGTGATTTGCACATGCTTTCACATTCTGCTCCGTCTGTTTTCAGTCTGTTTCCTATTAGCTCTTCTATCAGATTCAGTCATTTCCATTCTTCTTTCCATCATGTTTGTAATGAAGCGTCAGACAGACTGACTCCGCATGGGACAGAGAGCGTCAGATGATGTGTTTCTCGCAGTGGGGGGTATTTCACAATCCATAATCATACAATTATCATGTCCATCTGAGGAAACACTAGCAGATGTTGGGTAATAGTGCTGATCTCAGGTCAGATCCTGCAGTTTTGCACACTCCAGCTTGATTAAATGTGTTCGAGGAGAGAAAACGTGCTTGTTTTCGTGTGAAATGGGGTCAAATGCCACCCAGAAGCACAAATATTCATCAGATATATTTAGGATACTGCACTGAAGTTAAATACTTCAAAATAGTTTTTATAATGTATTCTAGGCTGTTATATGGGTCTAGACTGATATTGATCGATCATGAAATTAATTGCTTTTCAAATATTTCCCAAGTGTTCAGTAATTACTTTATAAATCTATTAATGATTTTTGCATTTTAATAATTGTGTTAATTAAGAGCGTTTTAGTCCATAAGAAACTTCGCTCTTGACTTGCAAGAAACAAATCAAAATTCCTTCATTTTCTATTCTGCTTAGTCCCTTTATTAATCTGGGGTCGCCACAGTGGAAAGAACCGTCAACTTCACACATCCCAAGTCTCCCGGAAGTTGCGGGAGTATCACTCAAATGCATAGACACTCCCGGATGCCCGCAAATGAATGATAATCTCCCGGAAATCGCTCGTCTCCCGCCCGGTCCTTAAATACGTTACACACCCCTCTCTCAACCGCATCCCTCAGGTACGTCATGCGCAACTCACCCCCACCGCTCTTCAGGTATGTCGGGTCGTGCGCAACTCCCACCAAATCTTCGGGTACGTCTCGCGCGCACACGCCCCCCTAATCAGATACGTCGCTCACTCAACCCCCCCACCTCCCACCTCTCTCTTCAGGCACCCACTATCCCGCTACCTCCGGCAAATCAACTCTGTATCCCCTGGAAATGTCTTTTCCCAACTTGGGATGTCTGCAACTTATTCATCATGTTTTATATAGCGGATGCCCTTCCAGCTGCAACCCTTCCCTGGAAAACATCCATACAAACTCATTCACACACATACACTACAGAAAATTTAGCCCAGGGGTGCCCAAACTCAGTCCTGGGGGGCTGGTGTCCTGCAACGTTTAGTCCCAACCCCAATCAGACACACCTGAGTTAGTTAATCAAGCTCTTACTAGGCCAGGGGTGTCCTGGAGAGTGTAGCTCCAACCCTAATCAAACCAATCCAGTGTTTTACGTTTTGTCAGTTTAGTGGTTAATTTGTACAAGTTCAGTCCTATGGTTTTGAGTTTTGGGTCATGACTGAAATGACAAGATCTCGGATACAAGCAGCTGAAATGAGTTTCCTTTGCAGGGTGGCAGGGCGCACCCGTATAGATCGGGTGAGGAGCTCTGACACCCGGGTGGAGCTCGGAGTAGAGCCGCTGCTCCTCCACATCCAGAGAATTCAGCTGAGGTGGCTTGAGCATCTGTTTCGGGTGCCTCCAGGACGCCTACCTAGGGAGGTGTTCCAGGCATGTTCCACCAGGAGGAGGCCTCGGGGAAGACCCAGGACATGCTGGAGGGACTATGTCTCTCTGCTGGCCTGGGAACGCCTCAGGATCCCTCTGGAGGAGCTGGAGGAAGTGTCTGGGGAGAGGGAAGTCTGGAGTTCTTTCCTACAGCTGCCCCCTTGACCCAGCCCCGGATAAGAAGATGAAAATGACATAATATGACAAGAAATAATAAAATTTTACTTCTAATTCCCTAGAATTCAGTAATACAAAACAATATACAACTGTAAAGCTTTCATATAAAGGAAATTCCCTAAAAAGCTATTCATTTGTTGCCAGATATTCTTTATATGGATCACAGTCCATAAATTAGTACACCCAAAATTAATATGTTGGGGAAAAAATACTAAATAATCGTTTATTAAGCAGTAAAAGTCAATAGAAACATAAAGTTATCAAATTTAGTTTAAAATTTTGCTTATTTGATTTTAAACGTATTAACTTTTTATGTCAAAAGCTGTTTAGTGACCAAACTCTTATTTTAATATATATAACTGTTTAATAAAACTCTTGTGTAAATGCACCAAAAATGTAGTCTATTCACTGAAAAATGCAGCCTATACAAATATTCAAAAGGAGGTGTACTCATTTGTTAAAGAGACCCAAAATGAAGATTTCCTCACTATTTTCTGTCTCTCAAGTGATCAGAAACTTTTATAAGTTGCTTTATTCTGTTGAACACAAAAGAAAATATTTTAAGGACAGCTGAAAACCTGTGGAGATGCGGTGGCGCAGGTAGTGCTGTCGCCTCACAGCAAGAAGGTCACTGGTTTAAGCCTCGGTTGGGTCAGTTGGCATTTCTGTGTGGAGTTTGCATGTTCTCTCCTTCTTTGCGTGGGTTTCCTCCGGGTGCTCCGGTTTCCCTCACAGTCCAAAGACATGCGGTACAGGTGAATTAGGTAAGCTAAATTGTCCTGTTTCCCAGAGATAGATTGCAGCTGGAAGGGCATCCGCTGCATAGAACATATGCTGGAAAAAGTTGGCAGTTCATTCCGCTGTGGCGACCCCAGATTAATAAAGGGACTAAGCTAAAAAGAAAATGAATGAAAACCTGTAACCATTGACTTCCTGATTTGTCAATGTTCTTCAGGTCTTCAGCTTCCTTTAAAATATCTTCATTCTGTTTAATAGAAGAAAGAAACAAACGGGTTTGACTTTGAAACAAGTAGGAGCAAGTAAATGATGGCAGAAACTTAAGTTGTTGGTAAATGATGGCACAAACTTTTTCGTGAACTATCCCGTAACATATTTCAGACGGTGTATATGCACACACGTCCTGCGGGCGGCGCTGTGCGCGTGATTGTGAAAGCGCGTCTCTCCAGCTGATGCCGTTGACTGTTCTCTCACCCTGAAAGTGCTCAGTTTTGTCAGAAACTTCTGGAAGTGGCATCTTTTGGTCTAGAGCTCTAACCAAAGTCCTATTTTGTTGTCTGAAGATGTCTGGAGCGGGTGTTTTGTGGGTGTGTGTGCTGGTGGTGTGTGTGTCCGCGGTGTGTGAGGCTGGATGTGCGAACAGAATCGATCCGACCTGCTGCCCGGGCCGAAATAACGACTGTTCGGACAGGAGCTTCCGGAGAACCGTGTGTTACTGCGACACGTACTGCCGGAGAAGCGGAGACTGCTGTGAAGATTATAATACCGTGTGTCACGTCTCTGGTGAGTCCGTTAAACCACATCAGCATCATCATAAGAACTTAACCCTTCAACCTGCTGCTGAGATAAGTGCGCGTCACCTGTGGGGATTACTTTTTCTCAAGTTAAAATATCTTACTTAAAAATATCATAAGGTGTTACTTGAGATATTTTAATATTAATATTCAAGTTATACTACTGGGGTGTTGAATGCGATTATTATTGGCTGATGTAATTTTACATTACAAGCTAGGTGTGTGCAGTTAATTTCAGATAACGTTTAACGCACGGCTAAAGTAGTTTCGGCAGGTTTTCGCTCAAAAATCTCACCATAACACAACAGAAGGCTTTGAATGAGATGTGTCAGAAAGTACTACACTGGATAAAGAACATAACTAAACAAAACTAACTTATTTTTTTCTTACTTAATCTGAAGGTATATAAGGTGCGCAGTTATTTTCAGACAAACGCACGGCTAAAGTATTTCCGGCAGGTTTTGTGCGCATTACAGATCCATATCACTACGCTGAATGATTTGAGTCATTTCAGATAAAACTGTCAAAACTGACATCAAAACACAACAGAAGGCTTTGGGTGAGATGTGTGAGAAAATACTACACCGGAAGAAAACAATGCAACTAGTCAAAACGGACCTTTTCAACATTTTTGGTTAGTCCAAAAATATCAGAAGGGATTTATGCGATTCTGATTGGCGGATGAATATTAAAATAGGGTGTGCAGTTGCATGTTCTCCACGCGTGTTTGCTCGGTGCTCCGGTTTTCCACACAGTCCTAAGACTTGCAGTATGCAAATGTTCGGCCACTTTATTAGATATTGTACACCTTACTAGTACCAGGTTGGACCCCTTTAGCCTTCAGAGCTTCCTTAATTCTACCGGGATAGATTCAACAAGCAACTGGAAATATTCCTCAGAGATTTTGCCTTATATTGACATGATAGCATCACACAGTTGCTGCAGATTTGTCAGCTTTACATCCATGATGCCAATCTCCCGTTCCACCACATCCCAAGGGTGCTCTATTGGATTTATATCTGGTAACTGTGAAGGCCATTTGAGTACAGTGAACTCATTGTCATGTTCAAGAAACCGGTCTGAGATGATTCACGCTTTATGACATGGTGTGTTATCCTGCTGGAAGTAGCCATCAGAAGATGAAGACACTGTGCTCATAAAGGGATGGACATGGTCAGCAACAATACTCAGGTAGGCGGTGGCGTTGACACTATGTTCAATTGATCTTAATGGACCCAAAGTGTGAAAAGAAAATCTCCCCCACACCATTACACCACCACCACCAGCCTGAACCGCTGATACAAGGCAGGATGGATCCATGTTTTCATGTTGTTGAGGCCAAATTCTGACCCGACCATCCGAATGTGTCAGCAGAAATGAAGACTCATCAGAGCAGGCAACGTTTCTCCAATCTTCTATTGTCCAGTTTTGGTGAGTCTGTGTGAATTGTAGCCTCAGTTTCCTGTTCTTAGCTGACAGGAGCGGCACCCGGTGTGGTCTTCTGCTGCAGTAGCCCATCCGCCTCAAGGTTGGACGTGTTGTGTGTTCAGACCTCAGTTGTAACGAGTGCTTATCTGAATTACTGTAGCCTTTCTATCAGCTGGAACCAGTCTGGCCATTCTCCTCTGGCATCAACAAGGCATTTTTTTCAGACCATTCTTTGTAAACCCTAGAGATGGCTATGCGTAAAAATCCCAGTAGATCAGCAGTTTCTGAAATACTCAGACCAGCCAGTCTGGCACCAACAACCATGCCACGTTCAAAGTCTCTTAAATCCCCTTTCTTCCCCATTCTGATGCTCGGGTTGAACTGCAGCAGATCGTCTTGACCATGTCTACATGCCTAAATGCATTGAGCTGCTGCCATGTGATTGGCTAATTAGAAATTTGCATTAACAAACAGTTGGACAGGTGTACCTAATAAAGTGGCCGGTGAGTGTAAATGATAGTATATTCTGTGTTATTATGCTCTTTGAAATTTCATAATTCTGTCAAGCGTTTACAGATGAAGAAAAGCCATGCTGGGCAATTCTGGCACATTATACGGTAATGTTTATTAATGTGCATTGCCCCTGTTAGCAAATAAACTAAACCTGTGTGAAAGAGGCTCAGAGAGAGGCACGAGGAGATGAGAGATTGAGTTTGATGGCGTAGTGACAAGTCTGGCTCAGAAACAGCTGCTCTCCACTTCAAGATGAGTGACGTGATGAGTGAAGTATGTGTGTTGGTGAACCTGTAGGTTATTATCACAGCCGTCATTATCTGTGTGTCTGTCTCTCAGCGGCTTCAGCTACAGAGCTCAGATACAGCTTCAAATACAGCGTTTGTATGTGTATAAACAGCACATCCCTTCAGCTCATCGCGGGAGCTATAACACTCCAGTGTTCTGCTCTGTGTAAGGATGTAAAGATGCTTTCATCTCGGTGTTTTGACGTGAGGGAGGTCTTGAGTGTTTTCCAGGTTTATTCAGGAGTTGCCCAATCCTCTGTGTTGTTTATGCTGTAAAGAGACATCTGAAAGCAGAGCATGACCTGTGTTTAAAGCGACAGTTCACACCAAAATGAATATGCTGTCACTTGTTTTAAACCTGTTGAGTTTCTGTCTTCTGTTGAACACAAAGGAAGATATCCTGAAGAATGTTAGGGGAAAAATGCAGCTAAATATATTTCTATCATCCGGTTTTTATGCACATTTTGGAATGTTGCGTATAAAAATGCTTAATAGAAACCCAAGGTGCAACTAAAAATAGAAAATGCACTTTAAAAAAAATATATGCGCAAAGTTCAGCAGGATAAATGTATTATCTGATAACAAAAAAATGTGCATAAACTGCAATGGGAACACATTTAGCAAATACCTTTTGACATGCCCATTAGAAAAGGCATGTTATTTTGTTATAAGAGATCATGTGATGATAAAAATGATAAAAATGCGCTTATTTTGGGCGCATATGTGCCCGATATTTTATCTATGTGACGTCAAAATATATTTGGGAGCATGTGTGCGAGTGCATGAAATTGTTGTGAAGGACCAGTTTTTACTGCAAAATGTTCAGAACATGCGCGGATTCGGGAGACATTCATGCAGAATGCATCTCTGCACTTGAAACGCGAACGCAGCGCTCAGGAATGGTTTAAAACAGTTGTCATGTCAACTTGCTGCAGTAAACAAATCCAAGTCTGTAATGCTTGCCCCGCCTTCGTGCTCTTCTTATTGGTCCACTGCTCTAGCACTGAAATATCAGCTGTCAATCACTCAGTTAATGCCGTCTGGCTTGGGATGACAGAGAGAGCTACTACCGCGAAAAACTGTAAAGCGCTGAAGAAGGAAATGAAGATAACACTGACAGATATTGTTTTACAAACCATGGCATCTAAAGCTACAAATAATGACACATCTTACTAGTGACCATGTGCTGAATGTTAATCCACCATCTGCACTTTTCCAAGAGTGGATAAAAGACTTCCATTGGCTTCAAGTCCGCCATGAAAAGTCTGTGGGATGGAGTTTTCAGGTAACTGTTTGCCACATCTAGCACGAGAGCTTCTGTATAATCCTTCATATAATCGCCAGATGCTGTCCGCCATGCAAGTGGCAGCTATATGTCAAATTTAACACCACGTACACCATCGCAAACGGGCTTGCACTGAGTAAATTAATATCATTACTCATGAAAAGACCGGTATTGCTATTTCAAGTGCAATAAATATGTTTGTATAAAACTTGTAGTAACGGTGCTTATAATCGGTGGGTGCGACTAAATTTTGGCTGGTGCACCTACATTTTTTAAGTTAGGAGCACTGGTGCTACCAAGCAAAAAGGTTAATTTCGAGCCCTGAAATGTGTGTGTTGGACAGCATTATTGGACAAAGCAGCATTTCCAGCACATTGTTGCAGATCTGAAATGTTGTTTTGCTGATTGTAAAAGGCCTCAGCCGTCAGTCTGTCCATCACAGTGCTTTAGTATTATTATCATCATTCCCTCCAGAACTGTCTTGAGCATGTGTCTGCGCTCCCAAAGAGCAGCTCACACTAGAGATCTGCGCGGGACTGAAATTTTAATCCCGTCCACGCCAGGTTTTATACCGCACCTGACAGCTCCCGCCGTATATTTAGCCTTTGTTCACCCGCTGCCCGACCCACCCTGTTTTCTACCTGACCGGACTGTTCCTGCTAAATTTAGATATGGGGCTTCATGTACAAAGACTTGCATAAATGAATACTAAAACATTGCGTACATACAAAGCTGTAAATGTGGAATTCTGCGTACGCAGTGTTTCATACATCTAAATGTTTAACTGCGTACGCGGAATTCCACGCATATTCTCTTTGTACATCCTAATTAACGTGAAGCTAAGTGCACGTGCACAAGCGCAAAAGCCCTCCCTGCCTCCTCCCACATATGAATATGGTAATGACTCCACTTAGGCAAAACCAAACGAAAAAGCAATGGCCAAAGTGAGCAAGAAGAGAAACTTCACAGAATGTGAATTGGAGGTGCTTCTATTAGAGGTAGAGTGGAGAAAAACTTATTTGCAAGTTTGACCTCCGGAATTAATAACAGAGTTCACACTTAGCTGATGATTGATTATGAAGTTTGTTTGTTATGCTGTCCCGGGAGAGAGCCCTGAGCTCATAAGATCCTCTAGCCCGGGGCTCCCTACCAAGGCAAGAGGGGAGTTTGAGTTCAGGTTGATCTGGAGAACTCCCCTGCTGTAGTAGCTAATGAACAGTTAGTGATTGCTCTTTAGAGATAACTACTTACTAGGAGCATGTCTATGGTGCCGTTTTGGATTAGTCAATTAACTTCAGTTGAAAATCTGCAGGAAATCTGCGGAATTCTGTGCGTGCAGATTCCGTGTGGGCCTAACCATGGCTTACCATGGTTACAACCCTAATATATATATATGAGCAATTCCAGCGTTATGGATGTGACATTTGCAGTAAAAACTCAAAACATAATTTCACACAGAAAGTATATGTTGACATT